CGAGCCTATGGCGACGAAGCCCGCCAAAGCCCACCAGAATGGGCGGGGCATCTGGCTATATAAGCGGGCGCTCACCACAGGATTCTCAGATTTTTTCTCCTTCAGCGACGACTCTACACTCCCGTATCTCAGGGAACCGAGGTTACGTTAGTAACCGAGTACGTTATCTAAGGTTCTTCATAGAACCAGATAGCAATAAAGAACCTTTATTTTTAAGAGTGAATGTTTGACTGGAAAGCTTTTGGTAGTGTGGTAGTTGCAGCTCAGGCTTAAAAAATGTTGTCTGGAAATTAATGTCCACTAAATGTCCATGAAGCACAGGGCAGCATATGTATAGATTTGCATGCACCAGCCAAGCAACTGCCATTGAGATGAATGGGAATGCTAACGGATAGCTTTCTCCAGGTATTGTAATTACAATATTGTGATGGTATACATGTATGCCCATCTCATAAATACGACCATTCTGAAATGTGGGTAGCATATTGATAATTCACATACTATGCACAGTATACTGCATAGTATACTAAACAAAGTAGTATGGTACTATGCTTATGAAACTCTGCCATTCTGTGTGCTTATTCTCAGCTTACTCTCTCTGTTCTGACATGTTTGATAAGTTAGCAGAGAGTAAAGGCTGATAAATGTGAATGAATTCCCACAATGCACTGGAACTAGTAGAGTGAGGTGGAGAAAAGGGGGAGGGGAAGGTACTCAGACCACATGGCTCCATTAGCCTGATGGGGTTTTTATTAAATTAGATAAGGCAGTCTATGGATGCCCCCTCTTCCACCAGGACACAAAGAGAGAGAGAGATAGTGAGAGAGAAAGAGAGAAAGAGAGAGCGAGAACAGCTCACTCAATCACATTAGAGTCCTTATTTCATTTGCGAAAGCAGATGGGGAGGGTCACTCCGCTATGGGCAAGAAAAAACAAGGCCTCATAAATAGGGACATATAGAGGAGATGAAGAAAACACTGAAGGGGTAGAAGAGACGGGTGGCAAGGGCGGCAATTTATCGCCATGTGGCAAAGCGACAGCATGCTACAGTTTGCTACCTGCCAAAAGGAATTTCTAAATTAGATGAATTCATTCTGAACTCCATATTGTTGTCAGCAGGTATGAGTTGTGAGTTTGGCTATATGCAGAATAGCATACTACCATACTATTCTTACTCCAGTTGCAGCACATGGTATGTATACTGTGCGTATTATGCACATTTTCTATATGCATAAAATATCTGAAAGACTTATTATTTGCTACAATGCACTGGGTATTTTATCCCACAATGCAATGCACACACTCGACCTTCCATTATCAATAATACATAACATTATAGTTGCATTTTTTTTTACTCTGATTTCCAAATGTTAAGACATTTTTTTATATAAAAGTGGATTAAAAAAATAATAATGTTTTTTTATTTCCAAAACATTCTTTAATGGCTGAATCTTTCAATGCTGAATAATGCCTATTGCCTACTGTTTCATTTAACATTTTTATATAAAAGTACAGTTTAAATCCATAAATTAGGGTTCAATATACTGTGTTAATTTGAAAGAATTTTCCGTACTGATTTTTTCACAGTTGTTTAGTGCTGCAGGCATGATATATTTTTGTAGGGAAAAAAAAGAATTAGCATTTCGCATTTCCAATTCCACTGTCCTGAAGTCAGTGTTTTTTGTATGGGTTTTTGGTTAAAGCCTGAAACAAGGTGCATGGTGAACACAGGCTTAATATATTTTCATATTATATTTTATGACATAAAATACATCAATAACACCCCCTTGTGATTTAAGTGGTTTTTTTAAGCTTTTAGTTGTCTTGAAAAAGGTTGTTTTTAACAAGTGGCTAAATGGGACTATAGTAGTCGGGGACATTAAATGACATTATGATGAACTCATCTACTCACTAGTCGCTTTCACAGCCTTATTGTCTTTATTCTCATGTCCATGTAAGCTATTCTAACTCAAACTTTTAGGGAAAGGAACGTTTTTTAAATAAAGACTGAAAAAGTTGCCTTAAGCTTAAAGGGTTTCTCAGCAGCGTTCAGCAGCAGCGTCTACTAATAGCGAATCTTTAAGTTAAACTGCTTCAAGAACCTCGCAACTGAGAAATGTCATGTAGCTTTTCAGCTGCGAAACTATTTTATTGATAAATTCGCGGGGCAGCGCTGACACACGTCTCCGTGTGTGTGCGCGGGTGCGTGTCTGTACTGTGTGTGCGTCTGTGAGAGAGAACGGGAGAAGGAAAGCGTGTTTTCTGTACATAAAAAAGGTGGAACTGTACTCTGTAGAGGACATTATGTTTTAGTGATTTCTCTGAGACGTTACATGTCACAGTTTTAAGTCTGGATGTCCTGTACAGAGCACATTCAGGGCTTTTGATAGTGTGTGCGCGAGAGAGTTTGATAGTGTGTGCGCGAGAGAGTTTGATAGTGTGTGCGCGAGAGAGTTTGATAGTGTGTGCGCGAGAGAGTTTGATAGTGTGTATGAGAGAGAGTTTGATAGTGTGTGCGCGAGTAAAGTTTGAATAATGTCTTGAACGGCCTCTCATACTGCTGCGAAACGCATAGATGCAGATATTCACACGCACTTAATCTCGCTCTTTCCCAGCATCAGCATCTACTAATCTTTTCAGCTGCGAAACTATTTTATTGATAAATTCGCGGGGCAGCGCTGACACACGTCTCCGTGTGTGTGCGCGGGTGCGTGTCTGTACTGTGTGTGCGTCTGTGAGAGAGAACGGGAGAAGGAAAGCGTGTTTTCTGTACATAAAAAAGGTGGAACTCATGGAAATAGTTTGTCATTTTTACCCTATTATTTGTTATATTTATTTGCTCAGTGTCTTCTGGGGTTTTGGTTCTTTTAGTATACTGTTGTAGATGTCCCATAGTATAACAAAAATATTATATATCTCTTTATTGTGTTTGGGCCCCCCCTGAACGAGCAAGCATAGGCACGTGCCTAGAATGCCTATATGCGTAAATCCGGCCCTGCAGGGAGGACTGACCTTTTTGAAGGCAGGATCAGAGAGAGGGACACAGCAGGCCTGAATGAAGGCATTAAGATCTATTACAATGGTTCTGACCTCATAGGTAAAGCATGGAATCTGTGTTATTGCTCCATCACCGCACACTGTTCACACGCAAGCTGTTACTGCCGGCAGGCCGAAGGTCAAAAACATTCACATTAAAAACTACGTGTTCTTCTCACCTCATTCTTTATAGTTTACAACATCCTTTTGAGAAAGAAAGAAGATGGCAGCTTTATAAAAGAGGGATTCTAATGGTTGATGTACACCACCGTTTACAAGCAAAAACATTCCAAAACAGTTCATAAACAGTGGATTTTGATGTGAGAAGACAACAGAGGATGGACATGGACTATGGTCTCATATTTTGGCCAGAAGTAACAGTTCAAAGTTAAAATGCCTTTATTTTCTGCTCACATTTTCCAATATAAAGTACTAACAACTGAGATTTAACCCTGTAAACAAATTAAATAATAGTCATAATAAAATAATAATATAATTTTTTTAATGGAAGAGTTTATTTAATTTTTACACAAAATATTATTAAAAATGTGTTGTCTTTATTTATTTTGAGCATCATATTTGACACATCAGGCTTTTATCGCTTACAGTGTAGGAGTTTTCTTCAGAGGCTCAAATCAAGCAAAACAAATATGATACAGTAGGCTTTATAGGGTTAAATATGAATTCAAACAGTTCTCATAATTTATCTGGGCTATGCTATACACATAATTTTAGAAACAGTGTGTGTGTGTGTGTGTGTGTGTGTAAACAGAAAATAATGCTCAAAAATAAAGTAAAAAATAATTAAAATAAATATTAAAATAAAGTGAAATAAAGTAAAATAAGCATTTTACATAACAGAAAAGCACACCTTCTATCCAGACCCTAACTTTCTCTCAGGCACATTACCTCCTCACACCCAGTCTGCTACGCCAGAAGTGATGTCATCCACAAGTCTTCCGCAAGGAAACGCGAATCTGTCAATTGTAATCCCCTTTCCTCTCCCCCCTTCCTTGAGGGCATGAGATGAGTGACCATTCGAACAGGCACAGGAAGTCCATTGTTCTGGGTGCTTCACACACTTAAGCCAAATTACCCTAGTAACCATTGATGTCAGCAAGCCAAGGTTAGCCAAGGAAAACCCACCCAACCCTGACCCCCTCGAAGCCTGTGTGCACAAATGCAGAACACACCTTTGTTTTCTCATCATTTATCTATTCATTTAGTTTCAGGGTCCTTCCAGTCTAAAGATAACTTGAAATAACCGTCACACTTTAGCGTCAGCGTGGTCATTGAAAAGCACACGTCGCAATTTGATAATGTTCTGTTGCCCAATAAAAAGGTGGTGGACGTGCATGACCTATGACCCTTTCATTATAACTAATCAGGAACTACTGATGTGTTGTTAGATTATCTTAGAATAACACAGACTCTAGAAAAGGTTTTCTCTACATTTCTAAGCTAAACAAATAAATAAACATTACATTTTCATGCACTGGACAGTAGTGTCTATTTTCCTTTTATTACAATAACCTTCACAACATGAAGATTATGATTGAAAATATATTATGCATAAATATATATTTAAATAAGTTTATATTAATATAAAATATTAAACCTTAAATCTGTCATTTTTCTAAATCTGTAATGTCACCAGATCGAATTGCAAAAATATTAGATTTGCACTTCGCAGATTGTGTTTCATGTTTATTCTGACACCACTAAAATTCACAAATCTGTTTTTATAATAGTAAACACACTGTTCATGTAATATTAATGTTTTATTGTGTCATGTTTGCCAAAATGACACTGATTAAAAAATATATACCCCACCTTTATTGGTATTTAAATAATACTGGCTTAACTTAATTTTTTTGTACAACAGGCACTTTATTAAACAGCACATAACCTATTCAATGAAAACAAGAGTTCTGGCTGATATGTAAAATTTTGTTTAGTCTGCGATAAGATACATACACACAAGCATCATTACAGGAAAATTTAAGTTTCTGACTAGACCGCACTAAACCTGAAACATGTTTGTTTTCACATTTCCTGAACACTCCCCAATTTTCTATTGGTCAGTAAAACAGATAGTCCCTCCCCAAATGCAGGGCTGGCCAGGATTAAAAAAATAAATAAAAAATGGCTCTGCAAATTAAGCCAGGGTAAAGTATTTTAACACTGAAATAAGAGCACACTTCATCTTTAACATTAGCGGCAAAAATAATTGATTTATCACCAAATTTCTATTGTTAATGTTAACAGTGATTTTCAAATGTTCACTAAGGATGCATCCTTGTTTTGCAAAGCAGCCTGTTTGTTATTCTATATAACTTTGTAAGTGAATTTTGTGAAATATTATCTAAAAGCCACTTACCGCACTAAAACACTGTGTATTCTAAGCCACACTTCCTCGTATTTGCCAGGTACATGATTGAGCACTATATTGTGTCACTTTTAGTTAAAATGTGTTCGCTAAGAGCATACATGTACAGTATATGATTGATGAATGTATATGAATAAATGAAAACTTTCTTAGTCCTCACTGCTTGGCGATGCCAATCCACCATGCTAGCTATATCTCAAGAAACACAGAGAGACATGTGACTGAATCAGATGACTATGAAAGAGATACAACTCTCTCCATGTCTACAGTAGCCTCAGTTCAGTAATGATCACATTCATCAGTCACCAGCTGTGTGTAAGACTGTCCTCTGCTTTATATCCATTCCCTTCAGTCGATCAGGCTGATTCCTCGCCATTGGAGTTTTGTCAGTAAGACAAGAGAGTCTTTTGTAGTCTATCCCGGGGACCCCCGCAGCCAGCTGAGACTCAGGCTGCAATGAAGTCCATTCATTTTCCTGTCCTTCTATCTGGAACTCCTACATACTGTTCATTCCTAAACACATGCACACATCAGATACATAGCACACAAGTCAAACACTGGATGAGACAATAAAGTAAAACTGATTCACCCTTTTGTTCAAAACTTCAAAAACAACAGCATGAACATTCTTCAAAATACCTGCATTTGTGTTCCACAGAAGAAAGAGATTCATACATACAACTTTTGCCCATATACATAGCCAAAAAGCAGACAGGGTGGTCAACATAACTGCCAGCATTTACACAGCCGCTGACAGAGTGAGCTGTGTAACATGGAGCTGGATTTTTGATGTCATTGTAAACTTGCCTGGAAAACACTCTGTAACTGTAAAACTAAGGCCATCTGGTGTCACTGTAGCATGGAAATTGAATCAAAGCCTGAAACTTTCCTCAGTCTGTCACTGTCAAGCTGAGTCTTACTGACCAGCAGGGAAATATTACTCTGTGAAACATGAGGTCACAAAACAGTGACAGGGTCAATAGTGTAACTTTAGACAGAAGACAGGCAGGGCGTTCTGGCACCTTTGATTCAAAAAAAAAAAAAAAAAAAGGAAAAGATTCTCACTTTGTATTTCAATCCAATTCATCCATCTGCACTCCAGTGTTTCTCTCTCAGTTGTGCGCTCCATCTTTCTCTGCAGACTGCTTTCTGTTGCAGTGAAATGTAAGTGAAAATTAAAGCAACGAACACCGTGAAAATAAATGCGAACTAATTATCCTTTCTGATATCCACTGATATGGCCGCTCACATCAAAAATAACCCATGTTGCTAAAAAAAAAAATAAAAAATCTGGCCAAAATATATTTCTAATACGAACTTGCACAATTGGTGGCTGACTAAATACTTTTTTTCCCCACTGTACATGCAAATTATGTTACAAATTGTGTTACACTTTAATGATATATATTTTTCAAATTGAAAATATATTGCATTTAAACCTTCACATGGCACAATACATAATATGAAATATACTTCAATGGGCAGGAAAATACATTTACAATATTAAAATACATTTTTGGTAAATGCAAATTGTTTCTATAAAGATATTTGTCAACATAAATATTTGTGTACTATATATGTACGTATATTCAATATGTATATAAGGCTCAAAATATATGAGGAAATAAATACATAGAGCTAAAAATTATTAAAATATTAGCATATATATTATTTAAAATATAATGGCAATATATGTTATAATATATTCATCAATAAGTAATTTAAGTATGTTTTTATTCTGTTTATTTTACTGTAGTTATTCTACTATTTATTTATTTATATTATACTATATTTTATTTTATTTTATTTATTATTATCAGTTTGGGTCATTTTTTAACAAGGGTGCGAGAACCAATACCATATTCAATGTTCTCCCCACTCCAATCGAACTTTTCCTGAAACACATTCAGTCCATCTACCCAAACCTGGCTCCTATGAGGGGACCTGCTGACCCCTAGATGAACCTCCAAGCTGCCATTCTGCAGAACAGCCTTATCTGCTGAAATCAGCCAATTCTCATGGCAGACATTAAGCCCGTAGTTCAGCCATAATGGCAGGGCTCATTTGTATAGGACTGATGGCATGACCACAGAATCGTATGTTTGTTTGCATTGCAATCAAAGAAATGTTTACAGCGCCTACACTGTCGTTTCTCATTTCAAATGCTGCCATCTGACATGATTGGAGGGCTGTGAGTTGAATATGAGAGGCTTTGTGTATTGTGAGGACGTTTTCTGATGGTGATGAGTATAATTGCAGGAAGCACACCCCACAGTGAGGATGTTGGCTGATATAGGGATGGGCGAGGAATGTTGCGCATGCTAGACCTCTCCAAACAGGAATGTAGATTTACTGCCAAATGAAACACCTATGTGGCCTGATTTGTCATATTCCTTTCATAATTTCCAAATTATGACAAAATTTCCAAAAGACATATTTATTTTCTTTGCCGTCAGTAATACAAATAACAAGAAGTTACATCGTTTTCTTTTCCGTATCTTCATGCATCCAGTAAAATATCTTTAAAACGGTCAAATATATGAAAAACAGAACTGCACAGGGTTTTAAAGAATGATGAACATAGTTTTACTTCCTTTGTTGATGTATTTTCTACTGAAACAGGAAGTTGAGGTGGGATATTGCAGGGCTTGTACTTTTTTAATGGTCATGTGTGCTATTAGGGACATTTTCCAAAATCGAATTTTGTTTTCATGGTTCAGGTGCATGTCTTGTTCTCAGAGAATGTATCTTGAATTGTTTCAGTTACTTGAATTGTTCCAATTACTTGTACTTTGTCTTGTTCTAAGCTTGACTTCTGTGACTATATAGTAGGCTACTATAGTATTTCACTATAATAGTGTAATAAAAAAAGTTTGAAATAGAGTGGCGGCAAAAATCCCAACACCACCCACACTGCTGACAGTGACTTTTAGATGGACATGCTGCACGTTTCTTCTCAATAACAAAATAAACACACAACAAAAATAACATCAGTGAGAAAATAGCAGTTTTGGTGAACTTTCATCCAGTCCACTAAAACAAACCAGATCAAAAGAATGATTTTACATGAATTCTAGGTAATAATGTTGCAAGTAATGTTCAGTTTATTGCACAGACCAATTGTTTTGCTTCACTAGACCTCGGTATATATCATCAGGAGTCAGGGGTATTAATTTTGTGTTGCCTGTATATGCTTTTTTGACTCTCAAAGTGACTGTGGCTGTTTACTTGCATTTTACCAAGGACCATGGTTTTACCTAATAATCTTTACTGTTTACTACATCTTGGATGGCTCAAGACTGAGTAACTGAACAGGCAATTTTCATTTTTGGATGAACTATCCCTTTAAGAAAGCATCTGATCACAGTGATGTGGACATGTTTGCAATTCAGCACTCTAATCAAGTCATGTTTTGTGTGTATGCACATGTGTGAGAGAGAAAAGGGGGAGAAAATTAGCCAGTTTTAAATTAGATATTGTTAATGCAACAGTGTGTTTAGGTGATATTGATGACATCAGTGCCCTGCATGTACTCAACTGATCACTATAGTAATCCTGATGTCAGACTCTTTAGCAGATATTTAAGGAAAGAAAGCATACTGTCTCTTCTCCTCTTAATAAGGACTGACTGTGAATGTAGAGTACCACTGGTCCTCATGTTTCAGTTTTATTAGTGTCTTTGTGATGCTGCACCATAATTTGCCATGTCGCCTTTGCTCCGAGGTCATTCTTCATTGCCAGCTCGTTTGGCACAATTAACCTAAATATTGTCAAAACATCCTTTTGTGCCATGTGGTCAGTGACATCATCTCTCCATGCCCAGTACCCTCCACCCATGATCAAACCACAACTGTTCTACTTCAGGCTCCACGTATGACCTAACCTGCACTGGGTTTTCCCCATTCTCTACCCTTACATCCTGCCAACAAGTGTTGAAACTGAATCTGCATGTATGAGTGTCAAGGTTAGAGAATATGTGCTTCCTGTGTGGAAAGATCAGGTCATGGCAGGTGATGAACATGGTTTTTGGAACATGGTAGATGTGTGCTGTGGTCCACCAGCCCTAACCAACTTGACCAAGATGGACTTCCAGGCTGAAACCAGTAGGCCTGTCACGATAAATTTTTGTTGTGCGATATATTGCCCCAGAAATAATTGCGATAAGCGATATTATTGTAATTTTAAAGACCATTTTATGCCACTGAATATATATTTATAATGTAACAGCATAATAATGCAAGAAGGCCTACACACTTCCAAATGACAACAAACTTTTAATTTTTAAGAATATTTAGATCATGGAAATTAAGTATCAAAATATTAGATACCTTAAAAAACTTGAATAAATAGTAAATAAACAGGTTCTAACAAAAAGTGCGAAGTAACAAGTACAAAAAAGAAAAATGCACAAAGAACTTGTTTGGAGATTTTTCCATCTACAGAATTTTCCCTGACCTTCTTTTCTCTGAAAGTTAAAGGTGCACACTATTGCTAAAAAACACGAGCAGGTCTTTTTCTTCATTTTCTCTCACACAGCTCAGCCAGGTCTTGCCCCATTTTTTGCATATTCTGTGGGCAGAAATGTATTTAAATAAGTAAGATTGTGACTTCACAATATCTGAAAGAAGCACGTTCTAGTCCGAATGAGTGGTTTGTTGAATATCTCCTTTTAGATTGGACTTTGAGCTTTGTAACATTGCAGATAAAAAAAAAATTACTGAGGTCATGTACATATATTGCGCGATAAGTCGATATATTGATTATTGCAACAGGCCTAGAAACCAGAAGCCAATTTTACAAAAAAAAATCATAATAGGTTTCTTGAGATAAATTCTAAGAAGTTTTTAAGGATGTTAATAGGTGCAATTCTTGAAAAATTCTTAGAGGGGTCCTATTATAGCCTTTTATGAAGTCTTGATTTGGTTTTTGGGGTGTGCTAGAATGGGTTTGTTATGCTTGATTGTTCTAAAAACGCATTATTTTTCACATATTTTACATTATTGCAGCGTCTCAAATGCACTATTTAGTTTTTTTCTCGATGAAACCCCTCCAGCCCTCCTTCCCATAACTACGAGTTTCATCTACTCAGCTGTAAATATTAACTATGGCATCAATTTTGCCATACTGCTATATTCCGTTGGGGCTATAATGTTCAGGAACAGTGTTAAAAATAAGTTTGTCTGCCTTAGAAAGGCCAAACAAATGGGTTTTGGTGGGAAAAAAAGCATCATGGCGACACCATGCTACTAAAGCAGGTCTTTTTCTTCATTTTCTCTCACACAGCTCAGCCAGGTCTTGCCCCATTTTTTGCATATTCTGTGGGCAGAAATGTATTTAAATAAGTAAGATTGTGACTTCAAATATTTTCTAAAGAACATCCTTTTTTTTTCTTAAGAACCAAATGGCAGGCTTTGGTATTTTATGATTGTATGGCAAGTCTTGCTGAACTGAAGACCCTGCTGCTCATCTCAATTGAAAACTCTTCAAAGCACAAAATCCACACCAAAGGGAATTCATCTCTCCAATGGAAAACCCTTGCCTGAAATGCTTCGTTTGTAGTCCTTCCATTATTTCTATGAATGACCATGTTACTCATTTGCATAATGCACACCTACTGGCTTCTTTGGCCCACCCCTCAAAGAACAGATGGGTAAGCGATTTTGCTATGTTGTGGAGACTTTTTTTGTTTTTGCCCTTGTAGTAGAAAAAAAATATCCACAACATAAAGTCACATTGTATGGACTCAATTCAAATTCTTCTTAGGTTTTTTATTTAGAACAATCTTAGAAGAGATTCTTGGGAATACAAAAAAGCAACTTTATTCTTAGGTTAGACAATACGATTTATTCTTAAGTAAAAATGTATTCTATATCTTGGACCTGGGGTATCTGTTGATTTTCTGGCCCAAGGCGGTTTACCGGCCCAGCCCAGTTTGATCAAGACAGTCTTATTACTGATTGTTTTAGCGGGGTCTGAAAACTACCTTCCTCATGAGACATGACAGCACTTTTATGCAATAAACATACAGAGAATTCTTCTCTTGTTCAGCGATGCATTCCACTATTCTTCAAATCAAAGATGATACAGAGCCACCCGTCCTCCCTTCCCCTCAATCACCATCCCTCCCCTGCACTCAAAGCAAAAATGCAATATCTCAGTCAGCACAACCAAACAGCGCTTACACAGACATTTACAGTCGGGCGGTGAATTACCATACTGCCCTAGGTTAACAAGACCTTTAATGGAAGGGTTACGGTAATCTCCTCATCCCTTCTTTTCATATGTGAGTCTGGGAATGACTGTCTTTCTATTGTCTAGTAGTGTCATCACTGTCATCTGATTCAGTGTCTCCTGAGAGCAGTTTTCTGTCTGCTGCGTCAGCACAACACACTCACATTAAACAGGAGGATTTTTTTCTGAACTCCTCATGCTAACAGCTCTCCTGCTTTGATGACAAACAGTGTTTGAGTTTTGTCCGAGAGCTCTTGGAGGTCCCAAGTCTTACTTTTCTCTATAATGTGAAGAGGAGTATCCATAGTATCAACCCAGGTAACAAATTTAGGTTATAAACAATATTGTGGTTACATTGTTCTGAAAGTTTCTAAAACGTTGAAATGTCTAGTTTTCTTCTTGTGATTATAACATTATTTAAATGTTACAAAAATGTTTCTTACAACATTATTCTAACATTATTTTACCCAAAATATAATGGTATTTGAACCTTTATTTAAAATGTTCTAAATGTTAAAATGTTCAGTTTTCTTCTCATGATTATAACGCTATTTAAACATTCTCCAAACTTTATTTTCACCCAAAATATGTTGAGAATGTTCATCAAGTACAAATAACATCATATAAGGACGTTTCGAGAATGTTGATCTGAGAATCAACTATTAATATTAATAAAGTTATAAGAATGTTACTTTAAGAGCGTTTTGTACTAACATTTATTGAACTTTTAAAAAACATTAGTAAAAGTTGTGAGAATGTTCCCTGTTAGCTGGGAATCCCACCCCGTAAGTGAGTTAATGAGGTGATACCATTTTTTATTTTAGTATGTATAAGTG